TCTCTTGTTTATATTCATTTTTTTTTTTTTTTCAGTCTACCTGTGTAAATTAGAATTGTCTACCATTATTTTCTTTCTTCCTTTCTTTCTTTTCGTCTTCTCCTTTTTTTTTTTTTTTTTTTTTTTTTGACTTTATTTATTCTGATTTTAATTTTTTGAAAGCAGTTAAAAATTTTACCCCAGTGGAAAACCTAGAATAACAGGAAAAAAACAGTATAAATAAAACTTGATGTGCAATGACACACACAACACACACACACAAGAAAAAAAAAAAAAAATCTAATAATCTCCCCATCTGCAAGAATAAGCAACAATGTAACTATTTTACAAGCATTTTCTTTTTGTTATGTCAAAATCCCCCCCCCCCCCCATTTTTTTAATATTTTGAATTTGAAACAACAAAAAGCTGACACGATTGAAAAGTGCACATTGTGAAAAAGACAAAAAAAACAAAAGGGTTACTTTTATTATAAAAAATAAATAAAAGTTTTATTTATTTTTTCTCTAACTGATTTACTTAGGGGACCCAATGTACCCATAAGATTTTTTTTTTATTCTCAGCTTTTGATGAAAATATCTTTAAAATTATGCAACTTAATAGACAGAGAAAAATAGCAAAAAAAATAAACATTGAACAAATTTGGAAACATTGCAAATGTTTGCCGACAACAAAAAAATCATGGCCACATGTTTTTATTTGTTTGTTCAATTTTTTTCATTTAGGTTTTTTTTTTTTTTAAATGAAACTTTGAATGAAAAACAAAACCACTTTTATAGAAAAAAATAGACATGTGACAAATAAAAACTAATTCCTTCTTTTCACCTTCATTTTTTTTTTTTATTAAGAAAACAAAATAATCACATACCACTTGACTAAAAAACATGACAAAGTCTTTAGGCTATTTTTTTTTTATTCATTTAACAGTTACTAAGTAAGCTAGTTTGGTTGACCATTACTACTGAGGAATGGTTTTTTTTAAACATTAACTGAATCTCTCACGCTTGTGGCCTTGTGCCAGACTAAACTTTGCCAATCGTCCGGGTCACCCTCTTCACTTTTCTTTTGAACAGGAAGGTTTGTCCCTTGTTTCTTGTTTAGGATTGTTTTCTTTGACATCCAGTTGTTAAATCCCTTCTTGTGTCGTCTTCACCTTGCATGGGGTGAAGTGAACTGATTATTTAAAAAAAAAAAAAAAAAAGTAATGGTTAATGAGCTAGTATTTGGTTGAATAAGTAACGAGTTTGATCCTAGCTTGGTGCTCTATACTTATAGCCTTGTGCCAAGCTAAGCTGAGTAAATAACATGACTTTTAAATTTAAGTCATGTTATTAAATCCCTCTAGGTACCTCCAAAAATTCGGTACCTAAGGTTTAAAATTTTAAAACTGACTTTTAAAATAGGGATATTTAGCCTTATTGATATTTATTTCCTCTTTTCAAGTGATTGATTTTAATTTTTTTACATTAAAAATCAACAAACTGAGGTTACTAACACGAAAAACGTTAAAATTTCTTAAATCAAACTTAAAATACAGACAAATCTTGAAAAATTTAAGGAAAATTCATATTTTTTTATAATAATATCAAACGACATATCAAGTGTTTTTTTTTTTTTTTTTTTTTTTTTTTTTTTTTGTTGATTCACAAAAAATCACAACGGTTTGATTTTCTTGGTTTTCGTTTTTTAAAATTTTATTTAAAAAGATGAATGAAAAAGTTAACAAATTTGTCATTTCTTGAAAAATAAGTGAATTTTTCATTAAAAAAATATTTCAAATTAAAGAAAACAAAAATAGCAAAAGTTTTATTTCTGAGGTGGGGGTGATTTCTAGATTTTGGACCATTTTTCTGCATATGTATTTTTTTTTTTATTGAATCAATTAATGAAGTAATATTTTCTGTATTTTTGCTTTTAGTTTTTCCTCGTTTTTTCCTTTTTTTTTTTTTTTTTTTTAAATCCTGTACTTGATTTGGGATTCTGTATTTTCCTGATATTGGGAGTTTCAGGATGTTCTTGACAAGTTCACGCGCACGCGCGCGATATAAATTTAAAAAAAAATGAAAACAAAATGAGAACTTTTGTTAGCCGATGCATTTCCTCTCTCCACTGATGAACTTTATCAAGGATTTTATTTTGCAACAAGTAAAAATGCAGTTAGTTTGTTTTTTTTAGTTTTTTCATGACTGCTCAAAAATATACATCAGTCGAACAGGAAAAGTCAAGATAAATTATGGAGGGTGCTAAGCGATAATCTTTAAATGAATATAAAAGTGAGTAAATATTGTTGTTGAATTTTTTTTTAATTTTTTTTTTTAGAATGTAATTATTATTTATATTATTTAATTTCAGTTTTGGAAATTCATTTATGCATTAAGTTATAGAAGGTTTTAAATTTAACCCATTTATGTTTTTAAATTTTATGGTCGTGCATTCAGGAGCATTTATTTTTTTAGGAATCATGTGTCGGCTAAGAAATAGTTTTCCCTTTGTCTTCACACA